GAAAGTACCTGGTTAAAATGCTGTTGCAGTTTCTCATTTGTGTAGTTAATGCAAAACTGCTCAAAACTACATGATACATTATGCGGAGAAATCAGAAGAAAATAAAGGCTGAGCCTTTTCTCACCACCCATTAAAGCACATGTTTTGGTTCTGTTTTGGACCTTTTGGTTATTTTTGAGATTTCTTTTCTTCTTCTTCTTTTTTCGCAGGGGGAGGAGGGGATATGATCTGAAATATTGGTTACCTGTTCTGCTCGAAGCTTTCAAAACCATAAATGTCAAGTACCCCAATCAGAGATTTAGATTTACTATCTTGCCCAATTGAGTTATTGATCTTGTCTACCAACCTGTATTATGATTTCGCACATGAAGAGAAAAATTGTTTAGCAATTGAACTATCGTTTTCCACGAGAACATTTTAATTGATTAGATAATGGCTGGGAGCTGCAAAAGCTTCATACCAATCAAACAGTCTGGAATATATTGTCTTAGCTAATCCATCCCTGCTAACTGCGGCACTAGGAGGATCAAGACTTCGCTTAATAACTTCTTCAGGAGTAATCATTACACGTTTACACAATGCATCTTCCAACACCACAGAATCACACCTAAGATTAAAGACTAGTCAGAACTTTCTACCATTTAAAGGGAACATGCAAAACATAAATTTTGAACAAGCGATTAGAAGCTGTCATACATAAGAAGTTCTGCTCTTGTTTTCAGATGGAACTTGGACTTTTCATCACTTGGAACTGATGAATCCATTTCCTTCCCCTTAGCAAAATCAATATTACCAAGATGAAGAATGGCAGCAACTACTCTGAAAATTGCTTCCTGAAAGAGTGCAAGAGGAGAGGAGAGGAGAGGAGAGAGAGAATATAAACGACGTTTCAACTTCTGGGCCATGAAGATGTGATAGTAAGTATTAGGCATCAGTTTCAAAGGCTATACCTGTTCCTTTAAACTGATTCCAACAATATCCATTGCTCTCCTGGTGGCAAGGTAGTCATGGGCATCATCTACACCATCTAGTTCATAGCATTTGGACTGATTAAGATAGTGAAATGATTCGGGGTGATCTAACTTATACTTCTCAATTTCCTGGTAGAATAAAGATTGTTGCCCCAGTTGTCATTAAAAGGAAATGGAATACATCAGAGACGGATATAGGGGGAGCTGGGCTGTAGCCCCCCCCCCCCAGGTC